TTACAGCTCTTCATCAAATAGAAGTCATTATTGTATGAACAGTTTTGTTTTTTTGGAGAAAAAAAAACATTCTTTATATTTTTACCATGTTGTCAAATCCTGACATTGAAACGAGCGGAAAAGGGTCAGAAATGCAGATTCAAACCTTCAAATTACATGCAAGTCACTTTATAATTCTACAGAGCCCTGCTGGTGACATCCCATATAAATAAAAATAATGTGTGGCCATGACTTAGTAAGACGTGGGAACGAGATAATTAAGTCATGGCCACAACTTACTAAGGCATAGAACAAGATCCTAATGTGTGGCCATGACATAGTAAGACATGGGAACGAGATAATTAAGTTGTGGCCATGACTTAGTAAGGCGTGAGAATGAGATAATTAAGTTGTGGCCACAACTTAGTAAGGTATGGGAAAGAGATCCTAACGTGTGGCCATGGCTTAGTAAGGCATGGGGTGGGAACGAGATCCTAATGCGTGTGGCCATGACTTAGTAAGGTGTGGGAACAAGATAATTAAGTCATGAACACAACTTAGTACGGCATAGGAACAAGATCCTAATGTGTGGCCGTGACTTAGTAAGATGTGGGAACGAGATAATTAAGTTGTGGCCATGACTTTGTAGGGTATGGGAATGAGATCCTAACGTGTGGCCGTGACTTAGTAAGGTGTTGGAACGAGATAATTAAGTCATGGCCACAACTTAGTAAGACATAGAACAAGATCCTAATGTGTGGCCATGACTTAGTGAGACGTGGGAATGAGACAATTAAGTTGTGGCCACGACTTTGTAAGGTATGGGAATGAGATCCTAACGTGTGGCTACGACTTAGTAAGGCATGGGAACGAGACCCTAATGCGTGGCCATGACTTAGTAAGGCGTGGGAATTAAATAATTAAGTTGTGGCCACAACTTAGTAAATCGTGGGAACAAGATCATGCCCTATTAAGCTGTGGTCAAGACTTGATTATCTCATGTATGGATGAAAAGAATGGTTTAACTTTGGTAGTATGTGATGGGGTCTGATGGTCTGATCTGATTTTCTTTTTTCTGACCTGTATTGGACTCAACAGTATTTGTATTCAGACTTGTTTTGTACACAGTAGTGTTTGTATTCGGATTAGTCTTTAAGTCAATAGTACTTGTATTTTGACTTGTGCTCAACGGTATTTTTACACTTGGTCACTTCATGTGACTAGTATCTGGACTGTATCCCGTATCGTGTCTCTGGTTAGTCGGACTGAAATCCGATGGCTGTGTGGGACAGAATATACGGCAAGCAAATATGAATTGTTTTTCCGTTCAGCCTCTTTGTCTGCAGTTTGTTGTGCACAATAAACTGTCCATTTGCTCACTCAGACTGTCTGTATTGCTATTAAGCATTTTGCCTTGCCCAGTCCCCGTCCATGTGTGTCCTGCATGATGATCTTCATGTGCCCAGTGACACACTGCATGGGGAGGAGTCTCAGTTGTACTGGGAGGGGTTTTCGTTGCATTGGGAAGGGATTTCTGTTGTACTGGGAGGAGTTTTGGTTATACTAGGAGGAGTTTCAGTTGTACCGGGAGGGGTTTTGGTTGTACCGGGAGGGGTTTCAGTTATACTGGGAGGAGTTTCGGTTGTACTGTAAGGGGTTTCGGTTATACTGGGAGGAGTTTCGGTTGTACTGTAAGGAGTTTCGGTTATACTGGGAGGAGTTTTGGTTGTCAAAAACGTCTTTACACTGCTATAACGTGGCTCAAATTCGTCCACTTACTGAAGTGGTCTGAATGACTGGATTTGAATCTGTGTTAAATGCGTCTTGGGTGTGTTTACACCTGCATATTTGTGTGCCTCGGTCTCCAGATATAATCCTGATACTTAAGTCGCATCAAGTGACCAAGTGTAAATGGGGTCTTTGTACTCTTTGTACATGATAGTATTTGTACTCAGAATTGTCCTGTACTTGGTAGTATTTGAATTTGGAGTTGTACTCGATAATATTTGTATTCGGAATTGTCTTGTAGTCGATTATCTTTGTACTCGGAATCGTCTTGTACTTGATAACATTTGTTCTCGGAATCATGGCCATGACTTAGTAAGATGTGGGAAGGAGATAATTAAGTTGTGTCCATGACTTAGTAAGGCTTGAGAACAAGATGCCTTATTGAGCTGTGGTCAAGGCTTGATTATCTCATTCGCACACCTTAGTCGGGCCATGCATTAGGATCTCATTCCCTACCTTATTAAGTCATGGCTTAATTATCTTGTTCCCGCATGTTAAAATTGTCATAGCCGTGCCTCACTTTTATTTAAATGGGATGTCACCAACAGGGCTCTGTACAACTCTGTAATTAATTGTGTAATTATAGAATTTAATTTACAAATATAGCAAAATCAAAGTAATAACTCTGGGATTGTAAGCATTAATTCTGTTAGAAAATTTCGGGGTCTTGGTCTTGACTCCCTCTGATTTAGACGCAGTCCTGACTCAATCTTGTCATAGTCATAGTGTTGGACTTGATAATAGTGGTCTTGACTGCAGCCCCATCACCACAGCCCTGAATACTCTCCTAGCCAGCAAAGTTTCCAAGATATAAAGGGCTCTTAAGGAGAACAGGGAATCGTTCGGCAAACTGAATTCCTGCCTCTTTTTTGAACACATCCGTTGTGGCTGTGACTTGCTACAAAATAATTTATTTTTTTGAGTGTCAGACATCCCTGAAGAAAGAGGGCTGATCCCACAGAATTCAGGCCATGTTACATCACCTGGAACTCAAGGCTGGAGTTTGTGTGTCGTGTATGATGTTAAATGTGTGATGGTTTTTTTTTCTTTGCTGTGTTTCTGAAGATGTTTGAGGGATTGTTTCTTTGCTGTGTGTCAGAGTTACGTGTGGATCTGTGAGGGTTCTACAGCTCTGCTGCCCCACACTCTATAGGGCCTAAATTCTACTGCCCCCAGCCCTTCTGCCCCAAACCTACTGCCACCAGCACTTCTGCCCCAAACCTACTGCCACCAGTTCTGCTTCCCCCAGCTATACTGACCCAAACTGTACTGCCACCAGCTCTACTACCCCCACGATACTGACCCAAACTGTACTGCCCCAAACCTACTGCCACCAGCTCAACTGCCCCCAGCTATACTGATTCAAACTGTACTGCCCCCGAATCTACTGCCACCAGCTCTTCTGCCCCAAGCTATACTGGCCCTAAACTCTATTGCCACCAGCTCTACTGACCCAAACTGTACTGCCCCCAACCTTGCTGCCACCAGCTTCACAGCTCCCAAACTCTATTGCCTGAGTTCTACTGCCATAACGCCCTACCGCTATCAAACTCTACAGCCACCAAGCTTGCTGCCCCCGAAACTCTAATGCCCCCAGATTTTACAGCTTTACTATCCCAAGCTTTACTGGCCCCGAACTCTACTGGCCCCACACTCTATTGCCCCCAGATTCAACAGCTCTACTCTCCCAAGCTTTACTGACCCCAAACTCTATTGCCCCCAGATTCTACAGCTCTACTATTCCAAGCTTTACAGGCCCCAACCTCTACTGCCCTGAAACATACTGCCACCAGCTCTACAACGCCCAAATTCTACTGTCCCAGCACTGTAGTTCTTCTGCCCCCAGCTCTACTGCTCCCAAACTCTAATACCCCCAACTCTACAACCCCAGTGCCCCCAGTCTCTACTGCCCCTTATAGACCGAGTTCTGCCCTTGCACTAATGTAGTGTGCACTATTGACACTCATTGCACACACCATTACTCAAAGGTTTCCCCTGTCGCTCGACACGCACTCGCTTTCTTTTATTCTTAGTTCTCTCCTTTCCACCCCTTTCTCCCTCTCCCTCTCTCTCTCTCTCTCTCTCACGGTCTTTCTTTCTCTCTCTTTCTTGTTCTCTCTGTCACTGTCTCAGTAGTCCACCCAGTCTCTCTCTACCTCTGTCTCTGTCTCTGTCTCTCTCTCTCTCCCCCTCTCTCACGTCTTCCTCACTCCGGCCCTCCATCTAAATTATCTATAACATCACACAGGAAACACAGCCAGAGAGGCAGAGAGCGAGGGAGAAAGAGAGAGAGAGAGAAAGAGAGAAAGAGAGATGCTGTTAGAAGAAAAAGATCAGAAAGAAGGCTGTCTGGGCTGTGGGTGCCGTTGTGAGGCAGCCCGTGGATTTCAGCTTCGGATCCGACGGAGCGGGGGGTGCTCGGCTCAGCAACGTCACACCACCAGCACCGTCACGTCGAGAGGGAATCAGCCGCCCCTCGCTCATCCCTCGCTCGCCCCTCACCAGCTCACGCACACACATTTTGCACGGCTGTCTACGATCCTTGAAGCAAATCCCCCCACAAATTACATGCATTAACGTTCGCATAATTGTGCCCCCGGTAGCAGCCCGTGTAGGGATGCCTCTGAAGGAGAAAGGAGGGAGAGAGGGGTGGGGTATGAGGATGCACCGTCGGAGGAGTTGGAGGAGGTCCTTCTGTAAAATTTCTTTGGCCATTTCTGTACGTTTCAGGGCAACGTACAGCCCTGCAGCTGCACCTTCACAGCATAATGCACGGACAGTGGGTAAACAGCATGAGCAGTAAGGCAACATACAGTAGACACATCATTATATACAGTGTTGCAAATGCAAAATGCACACACACACACACACACACACACACACACATATATATATATACACACAAATACACACACGGTCCCACACACACACGCACACACATGCACCCATACACACAGTGCCTCACACACACACCATGCATGTCTGCAAAAAAGCGGAGTCACGATTCTGACTACTTCATAATTAAATAATAAAAAATATGCCCAGTATTTAGGCCACTCACATCCCGCACAGAGGAGCTTCACACGACGACACAGGACAGACGGACGCACACAGGCACACACACAACGACCGTCCAGGGCTATCACAGCCAAACCCACTTATCTCTCAGAGCGCATCCTCCTCTTTCCCCCTGAGCACAAAGCGAAGGCAGAGAAAAGGCTGGTGTACTGTACCTGGGATGCTACAGGATGGAGTGAGAGGGAGAAAAAGGATGGAGGTAGGTTGTCTCTCTCTCTCTCTCTCCCCCGCTCTCTCTCTCTCTGCTCCCCTCTGTTTCTCCTCTCTCTGTTTTTCCCTGCCTCGTTTTTTTCCTCCCGATCTCACAACCCTCCCCTCCCTCCTTTCCTTCTCTCTCTCTCTCTCTCTCTCTCACTGCCTGTGCTGAATACTAAACGAGCCTTGCCGTCCAGCACTAAACACACACTGATGGTGTACAGAAGCTCATCGGAGAGGAATCGGGGGAGGGGCAAGTACAGAAAAGGGGAGGGGCAAGTAAGTAAAAAAAGGGGGGGGTGGTAAAAAGAAAGTGGGAGGTGCACAGAGAGAGTAGGAGAGGCAATAAGAAGGAGGAGAGGCAAGTATGTAGAGAGGGGGTGGGGGTTGTCAGAGAGGGGGAGGGGCAAGTGGGAAAAAAGGAGGTGCAAAAGAGACAGGGTGGGGTAAGTTGAAGCAGGAGGTGGCAAAAAGAGGGGGAAAGGAGAGAGAGAGGGGCAAGTAGAAAGGGGGTACAGGAGAGAGGGAGAGGGGCAAATAGATAAAAGGAGAGGAGGGGCAAAAAAGACAGTTGGAGAAGTAAGTAAGGGGCTAAGTAGATGGGGAGGGGCAGAGAAGAGAGGGGGAGGGGCAATTAAGTCATAGGAGGGGCATTAGAAAGGGGGGTAAGTCAGCAGAGAGGGAGAAAAGTAAGTAGAAAATGGAAAAGACAAAAGGAGAAAGAGAAGTAGAGAAGGGGGCAAATATGTAAAAGGGGCAGTGGTAAAGAAAATGGGAGGGGCAAATATAGAGTAGGAGAGGCAATAAGAAAAAGGAGAGGCAAGTAAGTAGAGGGGGGGGCGAACAGAGATGGGGAGGGTCAAGTAGAAAAATGAGGTGCAAAAGAGACAGGGTGGGGTAAATTGAAGCAGCAGGAGGCAAAAGAGAGGGGGAAAACAGAAAGGGAGGGGCAAGAAGGAAGAGAGAAGGGTCAGGTAGGCAGGAGGAGGAAGGGAGAGAGGGAGAGGGGCAAACAGATAAAAGGAGGGGGGCACTAAAAAGACAGTGGGAGAAGTAAGTATGGGGGTAAGTAGATAGGGAGGGGCACAGAAGAGAGGGGGAGAGGCAAATGAGGGGCATTAGAAAGGGGGAAGGGTAAGTTAGCAGTGAGGGGGACAGGACAAAAGGAGAAGAAGTGGCAAATAAGTAAAAAGAAAGGGGGTAAAAAGAAAGCGGGAAGGGCAAGTAGAGAGTAGCAGAGACAATAAGAAAAGAGAGAGGCAAGCAAGTAGACGGGGTTAAACAGAGAGGAGGAGGGGCAAACAAATGGGGTGGAGGGGCAAGTAGAGAAACAGAGGGGCAAAAGAGATGGATAAACGTTAAATAGAAACGGAGGGGCAAGTAGAAGGGAGGAGTGAGGGGGGGTATATAAAAGAAGGGGGGCAAAAAGACTGTGGTGGGGCAAGTAAGTAGAGAGGGGGTAGGGTAAGTAGATGGGGGGGCAATCAGGTCAAAGGAGGGGCATTAAAGAGAGGGGGGCAAATCGGCAGAGAGGGGGAGAGGTAATTAGAAATTGGAAAGGACAAAAGGAGAAGGGAAGTTGAGAAAGGCAGGGGCAAGTATGTGGAGAGGGGCTGTGGCAAGTAGAGCAAGTAAGGGGTAAGTTGAAGCGGTAGGTGCAAATAAGAGGGGGCAAAGAGGAAGAGGAGGGGCAAATAAGGGATCAAGAAGAGAGAGAAAAGAGGATGGGGAAGTAAGTAGATGGGGAGGGGCAAATAAAGAGAGGGACAAGAAGAGAGAGGGGGCAAGCAGAGACAAGGAGGGACAAGTAATTAGAGGGGGTGACAAGGATGAGGAGGGGTGAAAAAGAGGGGGAGAGAGCAAAAGAGAGAGGGAGGGGCAAAATGCAGCAGGAGGGGCAAATGAAGAGTAAGAGAGATAATTTGACAGGGGTGGGGCAAGAAAGTAGAACAAGAAAGGGGTACATGGTTGAGGAGTGGTAAAAAGAGAGGGAGAGGCAAGTAGAGAAAAGGAAGGGCAAAAGAGAGAGGGAGGGGCAAATGGAGAGTAAGAGAGATAATATGACAGGGGAGGGGCAAAAGTACGTAAAGACTGGGTGAAGAAAGTTATAAAGGGGCGTGGCGAAAAGTGAAATGGGGTAAGTAGAGACTAGGAGGGGCAAATGAGAGGGGGAGGGTCATGTAAGTAGAGGTGAAAGGACAAAAGGGAGGGAGCGAGTAAGTTAAGAGGGGCAGGAGTAAAAGGGATTGGGAGGGGTGAACAGAGAGAGGGAGAGGCAATAAGATTGAAGGGGCAAATAAGCACAAAGGCAGAGGGGATGGTGAAAGGGGGAGGAGCAAAAAGGTAGACAAATTGAGAGGAGGAGGGGCAGATAAATAAGGGCAAGAAAGGCGAGCAGAGGAGGGGATGTAGAAAATAAGTGGGGCAATATGAAAGGAGGAAGGGGAATTAGAGGAGAGACAAATAAAGAGAAAGTAAGTAGAGAGGAAGAGGAGCAAGGAGAGAACGAAGAGCAGTGGGAGGGGGAGGGGCCTGTGCGACTAGAAATGAAAAAGATCAAGTAAACAGATTGTGCGGTCAAGTAATGAGGGGGGTGTGGCAGTTGGGGAGGAAAGGGGCAAATAATGAGAGTCACGCTTACGCAGGCTGTGATTGTTTAGCAGATGAAATGGAGTAATCCTTTCTGAAATAAGATAAATAGACAGTGTCTGTGGGGGGAGACGATAAGACCGGAGGGAGCTCAGCTGTATCACGCTGCAGGCAGCCGTAAGGTTACATAAGCCAAAAGCTAACTTTCATTACGCAAGCTTTAATAATACGACCCACTTAGCCTAGCATAGGGACGGAGGGGCTTCACTATCTGCCATACTGAATCGTGGCTCTCAGCGGGTTCTTTATGACCTTGTTGGGTTCTGAATTCGAACTGTAAAAACGTCTGTTCACCCTGTGAACTTGTTCGAACGTTATTCTTTATGCTCGAACTGCTGAACAGTAAATCAAGACAGTGACACTGTAGGGAAGCTCATATGTCTATAAACTCCAATAGTTATAGCTAAACAAATGCTTTCATTGGTTCAAATTTTGAGGTAAAAAGATGCCTATGAGCCTGTGGTGGTGGTGTCCCCCACTCACTCGCCGCGTTCCTCTCCTCGCCGGGCTTCGTCTCTGCTCCAAGTTCAGGCCCCGCCTTCCTGCCGGCTTTCGCAGCCGTCATCGGGGCCTGGGCAACGGTCACACGCCACAGAGCGTCTTTCATGTAGAAAGGAAAAAGAACTTCGCAAGAAATGGCATCTACTGATATGTTATCAGATCTTAGGCCCAGTCCCATTTCCTATTTTTAGCCCTACCCCTTGTTTTCGAGTGTCACCTTAAAGTGGTTGAAATCTTCCTCTACGAAATGGGACCCTCAAATAAAAAGAGCATTACTTCATTAACAACTACTAGAGCTGCTCTGTAGGCGACCCTGCCAGTCTGCAGTGACAGCAGAGGAGGGTAAAGTTCAGCTCCTCACTGCTGGGCTTTAGTTACATTTAGGGAATCATATGCCTTCAAAGAGGGGGGCAATTATTTAATATCGCCCACCCCTAATTCTTCAGTGATATGAAGATGAAGTCAGATAATAACCAGCTTCTTGTTTGAATTTTCCCGTTCCACCTTAAATGGAGCAGCAGTTACATTCTGGAGCTTCAGGCGTCAGAACTGCTGGACTATTTAAGGTGGAATGGGAGATTTAGCCAGGTAGCTAAGGAGACATCAGCAAACAACTAGCGATTTTGTTAATGCTTGTTATGAAACAAAATGACTATAATACATTGAACTGATATTAAACTAAGGTATACAGTGGTTAATGTAATTTTTAACAGAGAAAATTCTCACATTTGTGGATTTCTTTGGTTTCTTGTTCAGCCGTCTTGCTTTTTCTTATTTTCTCATAACACTCTGTTTGGAGTCTCTGAAAAACCTCCGTTTGGAGGGTCATGTAGCTCTAACACTTCACCCTACCCCTCTTTCTCAACAAGAATCGGGACACCCTAACCCCAGAGGTGAACGTGCAAAACGGAGGGCTAAGGGCTGAGTGGTAGGGGCGAGGAGTGAAATGGGATTGGGCCTCAATCTATCACTAATAAACACACTCTTCTCTGGCATAAAGCTGCGGCCTGAAAGTTTTATAAAAGTGCACAAACTTTTATGTAAACAATAATATTTCAAAAAGACGGGAAACCAACAGAGAGCCGGTGGGAGTGGAGTAAGATGAGGTCACCTCTTCATGTTAAAAGCTGCTGAATTTTAGTGCAGCTGGGGCCGAGATGTAGAGCTGCTTAAATTAGAGTACGGGGAATTACTGTAATCCATTAGTGAGGGAGCAGAAGTATGGAACTGCTGTCACGAGAAACCTCCTACGTCCAAAATAACAACCTTGCTTTTTTGGGGGGGGCGAGTAAGCAGAGCGGTCTGGACGTCTACTCTTTAAGCTCCTTTCCACCACAGATCACGTCAGTTAGAGCGTTGAGTTCAGCTATAACATGCCTAAAGGGGACGCTAAACTGGGTGCTAATTATTTAAGTCAGTGGATTCGAGGTGATATCAGAAGAGAGCTGAGAGAGCTGTGATAGAGCCCAGTGGACAGAGGAGGGAATGGGGCCATTTAGCCATAGAGAGAAGAGACTGATAAAGCCTATATGTATAGTACTGTGCAAAAGTCAGAGACCAGTCCAAATTCCAGTCCAAACAGCTATTAAGCTCAGAAAATTATACAACAGCTAAATATAATGTCAGATCTTTCAGTGTTTACTGTGTCACTCTTTACCTTTATTGCAGCTTCCATTCTTTTCAGGAGACTCACTTTCAGTTCCTCAAAGAATCTGCAGACACACCTCCAAAGTTCAGTCTTAGAAGCTGGTTGATCATTTTCTGAAGTAATCAAACACATTCAGTGGTGTTGAGGTCTGGACTCTGGGGTGGTCAGTCCATTGTTCAGCTTCTTTGTTTGATGTGTCCGTCTCCTTTTCTCAGTGAGGTTCTTCTTGACAGCTACACATCCTTTCAGACCCACAGCGCTGAGTCGT